ACTTAAGGGCGAGGCGTGGGCCCCGGGCCGGGTGGGGATATCGGGCTGACCCGGACCCGGCTGGGCCTCTGAAGGGAGCGCGGGCTGGACACGGGGATGTAGCTCCCCGGAGGGGGCCCACCAGCCTGACGCCAGACCCCGCCTTCCTCCCCCAGGGCTCCCAAAGAGGTCTCCGCAGCGCCCCCTTCTTCTCACCCGGGGTTTGGGTCCCATAGTGATTGAGAGACTCAAGTCTTCAGCCCTACCATGGCTAATGGGGTGATCCCGCCGCCCGGGGGCGCCTCCCCCCTACCCCAGGTGACTGATGCGTGGAGGGTGGGGTGGGGGAGGAGGGGCAGGATGGGTGGGGTGTCCTCTGGTTGACCCTGGTACCACTAGACCCAAGCATGGAGCTGTACTGGTGGTGTGGAGGGATAGGGGATCGATGTATTGGTATTTGACACATCCATGGCTGGTGCTCCCGAGGTCTGGGGAAGCTCTCAGAAGGTGTTTTGGGGATGTTGATGCAGGCAAGGGTGAGGGTGTTGGGAAGGTTGGAGTATGGAGTTGGGGGTGGTGGTGGCGGGTGCTCATGACTAGAGGTCCTTAGGAGAGGGTATCTGGCCTGCAGGTCCGGGTGCCCTTGGAGGAGCCCCCTCTGGGTCCAGACGTAGAAGAGGAGGATGATGACTTGGGCAAGACCTTGGCTGTGAGCAGGTTTGGGGACCTCATCAGCAAGACCCCGGCCTGGGACCCTGAGAAGCCTAGCCGCAGCTACAGCGAGCGGGACTTTGAGTGTGGGTAGCCTGGGGACCCCTAGTGCGGCAGCCTTCACCACCATCACCTTCATCGCCACCATCACTGCGCTCACCTCCGGCTTGATCACTCAGTTCCATCCTGTGCTGGACGCTGTGCTGGGCCGCCGTGCCATGTTAAGTCATCCTGCCTCCCTCACCATCACCTGTTCACCTGTCAGGGGAGCTGGGCTGCAGACCTGGGGGCACGGAGGGAGATGGGCTTGAGGCTTCCCCCGGTGACCTTCATCATCCACTCTGGCCCCATTCACTCTCTGCTCTACCATGGTCCCTGTTGTGTCTTCCTTCAGCTTCTCTTTCTCTTCTGTGTCACATTCCCCACTCCGTTTTGTGACTTCCCTCTCTGTCACTCTTGTCCCCAGTCTACTAGGCCTCACCAATGACAGGAGCATGGACACAGTAGTTGGGAGGGATGTCCTGGCTCTAGAGGAAGGATTAGGGTGCCTTTATTTGAGACCTTGAGCTAGAATAAGGTGTGGGGGGAGCCCTACAAGGCTTCAGGGGTCTCAACCAACTCTCCTGCACCCCCAGTTCACCGGCACACATCCCACCACACCCATCACCCGCTCTCAGCCCGCCTGCCTCCACCCCACAAGCTGCGGCGACTGCCCCCCACCTCTGCTCGGCACACCAGGAGGAAGAGGAAGAAGGAGAAAACCTCTGCTCCCCCCTCAGAAGGGACACCTCCTATCCAGGAGGAGGGGGGAGCTGGAGCAGATGAGGAAGAGGAGGAAGAAGAGGAAGAGGAAGGAGAGTCTGAGGCAGAGCCTGTGGAGCCTCCACCCTTGGGGCCCCCACAGAAAGCAAAGGTAGGGTCTACTCATGGAAGGAGGGATGGCTGGCCAAGGGGTTGGTAGAGAGGATGCAGGGCAAGATGCAGATGGCTGCTGGGAGGTAAGTCTGTCCGTGTGTGTCCACAGTTCTCCATTGGGAGTGATGAGGATGACAGCCCAGGCCTTTCTAACAAGGTTGCCTGTACCAAGGCCCTGCCTTCTGTCGGCCCACAATCTGATCAGAGCCCCCAGCGCTACGGCAGGTACTGGTCCCAGCTCTGTGGACCCAGACTCATTGGGCAGAACCCACTGTAGTTCAGAGCAGTTGGCCCAAGTCCCTGGCACTCACCTGACTCCTGACCACGAATAGTGTCCCTAGGTGTGACCTGGACAGCAAAGAAAGCGAGGAGGAGAGCTTCATCTATCTCCAGGTTTACAAGTGGGAGGGAGCAAGAGGGAAAAAGAGAGTTGATCCAGAGGTCAAGGGCCCTCTAGACCTGAAGTGCTGGCGAGAAGGAAGGGGTACAGGTTGAAGAGAAGAGCCGGCAGTGGGAGGGAATGGGCACGTTGGTGGCCTATGCATTCACTCTGGCTCCTGAGACCAGGGAAGTAACAGGAACCCACTAGCTTAGCCAGCTCCTTGCTTATCTCCATCAAACCTAAGGTTCATGTTGCTTCCTCAGCTCTCCCAGCCCCCGAGCCCGGGCTTCCAGAATCTCTACAGACAAGAGCCGGCCCTGGAGTCCATCAGCCAGCTATGACCTGCGAGAGCGATTGTGCCCCGGCAGTGCCCTGGGCAACCCTGGGCCAGAGCAGCGGGTGCCCACTGATGAGGCCGAGGCCCAAATGCTGGGTTCTGCAGATCTGGATGACATGAAAAGTGAGTGGATCTTGAAGAGGTTCCTCCCTGCCCTCACCTAGGGCTTCGTCCTTTCTGCAGTGTCTCAGTGGCAGAGAGAGCTTATTCTCACTAAGCCACCTCTGCCAGAGCTGTTTCCCTTTGTGTCACTCATGAGTGTTGTCTGAGTCACCTATTGCATAAAACGGCCCTCTTCCTCATGTGCTCTTGGAGGGATGCTCTCCTGAGACCTCATTGCTCTGTAAACTCTACCCCACCTGCATGGAGGCCGAGGGCTGAGCTGCACTGCCAGGCCCCGCTTGTTCCCAAGCCAGGCCTGCAGCTGCCCTCACTCCTTCCTACCATCCTTGGCCTGGCCTGGCTGTGATCTCGGCACATTCCTTCCATTTTATCAGTGCCTGGCTTTGGTGCCACTTGTCATCACCCATGGGGCTCTGTGCCCAGGCTAGGGGCATCACTGATCTCCCTCCTCCTCCTCCTAAGATTCACAGGGTGTGGGCGGGGGCAGAGGTGGGGGGGTTAGGGCTTTGAGCTCAATACGTCATGGAAAGTTGCCAGGGCCTGAGGACAGGGACAGGAACAATCCGATGGCGGCGGCAGCAGTGGCAGCAGGATTGGGGGGGCCATAGGGAGGGTGTGTTTACAGATCCAGGGTGGGAGCTGATAGCAGGAGCAGACTTGGGGACCAGGGCAACTGTGAGCAGGAAACCTAACCACCTCCAGCTCTTTGTGAGCAAAGGCAGCTCCTGCAGGGGGCTCCTACCTCTTGGGACATCCAGGACTCTGGGAAGGAGCAGGGGCTGAGGCTTTGGCCTCAGGGGAATGACAAGCCCGCTGGACAAGGTCATGGAGCCCAATGGGGCTCTGAGTCCTGTGCCCAGGGACACTGAGGACCGGGGCCCTGGGAAGAGTCCAGTTCTCGGCAGTGGTGACTTGCTGGCCTCAGAGGATTTGGAAATGTTTGTATTGGACTTTGAAGACTATGGCCTGTGGGAGCCCATGAGGGGCCACCCAAGCCCCCTGGCAGGGGTAGCTGCTTGTGAGTAATTGGGCAGCCAGCCTGTCCCCAGCTGTTCGCCTGGGCAGGGTAGGTGGGGGGATGACAGGCAGCCCTGCACAAGCCTGTTGGATGGACATTAGTGGGACCGGGATTCGGGTGTTGTAGATGTGGAGGAGTTAGGTGTCTAGGGACAGGCATTGGATCTATGGCCCCACAGGGAGGATCGTGGTTGTGGTAGGGGCTTCAGGGTCTGGATGGGGCTGAAGAATTAAGTTGGGATCTACTTTTTGTGTGACTCGGCCAATGGTACAAGGTGGCTCTGTACTGTGACTTTCCACTTCCTGAGAGTCAGTCCCCAGATGTGTGAGATGGTCACTTGGATTATCTGGTCCGTCATAACAACCAGGTGGACTTGGTGGGTACAGCAGGGACCTGGGGCACATGGGCCGTGATCTCAGAGATGGATTCCTGGGGCCTTGTCCACAGGCCATCGGCTGGAGGACAACCCTGGTGTGAGGCGACACTTAGTGAAGAAACCATCCCGGATACAGGGTGGGAGAGGCAGCCCCAGCGGCCTGGCTCCCATCCTGCGCAGGAAGAAGAAAAAGAAGAAGTTGGATCGGAGGCCTCATGAGGTACAGCAGCCTGAGGGGGTTGGCCTTTGGAATCCACTTTTCCTCTCTTGACAGTCCTAATCCTGGCAGCCTCCGGCCCTTGCCTTGATACCTACTGCAGGTGTTCGTGGAGCTGAATGAACTGATGTTGGACCGTAGCCAGGAGCCACACTGGCGGGAGACAGCACGATGGATCAAGTTTGAGGAGGACGTAGAGGAGGAGACTGAGCGCTGGGGGAAGCCCCACGTTGCCTCCCTCTCCTTCCGTAGCCTTCTGGAGCTTAGGAGGACCATTGCCCAGGGTAGGGCTCCTCAGTCTGGCCTGAACCACTGGGCCTTCTCCCCACCATAGCTCAGCTTGTTCCTTGGCACCACTCTGGAAGTTCTGAGGGGCTAAGGGTTACATTTGGGGCATAGTGGACCTTCTAACTCTGCACACTAAGCCAAGCTCCCCTCACTTGGCTTCTCTTTCGCTCCGTTTTTATATCCTCCCCCAGCTGCCTGTGAAATGCGTATCTGCTGCAGTACACTGGCACTCAGCTCACCTTGCGTATTTGCCCGCCCTTGGGGAGCAAGGCGATGGGGTGGGTCCCCTGCCTGGCAGGACGTCTCCTCCTCTTATTATGTCCTAGGAGCGGCTCTCCTGGACTTGGAGCAGACCACCCTGCCGGGCATCGCTCACCTTGTGGTGGAGACCATGATTGTATCTGACCAGATCCGGCCAGAGGACAGGGCTAGTGTCCTACGGACTCTGCTCCTGAAACACAGGTGTGAGGGGCTGGTGTCTGCTTCAGCTGCCCTTCTAGGAGCGTGGCCTTTTCCGAGGGGGTCTCAGCCTGAGCACGCCTACTGAATATGTTGGGGAACTTAACCCACTTCTGTCTTTCTACAGCCTTAACTGACAGAAAGCTCTCATGTTAAGGAAAAGGCTGAAGGCTGTGGTCCTCTCTCTTCTCACCTCCTTGTGACCTCAGTCTAACAGAAGCCTCTCCATCTTTCCTTGCCTCCTTCTTTAGCCATCCCAATGATGACAAGGACAGTGGCTTTTTCCCTCGAAATCCATCAAGCTCCAGTGTGAACTCAGTCCTGGGGAATCACCACCCAACCCCTAGTCATGGCCCTGATGGTGCGGTACCCACCATGGCTGATGACCTAGGGGAGCCAGCCCCATTGTGGCCACATGACCCTGATGCCAAGGAGGTCAGTGACCTTGTCTGACTTGGGCCTGGGAACTTAGAAGATGCCCACTTTAGTTGAGATCGGGAAGGTTGGATGCCTGGCACTGTGCCAAGCATGCTGTGGGTCTGTTGGTGGCACACACCAGGACTCCCTGTGTTGGTGATACAGGGTTTGGTGTGGTGATATGCCTGACCCATGGGAGACATTCAGCTGACAACACTGAGGTGGGGCAGGGCATAGAGAAGGGTGCTGGACCCTTCTAAGAGGCTGGGGAGAGAGGAAACAAGGCCCAGACCTAGGGCTGGGGTAAGGGGTGGGAGGGCCTGCCATGGCCTCCAGGCTGGGTCCCAGCCCTATTCCAGTTCTGCGTCCTCAGAAGCCCCTCCACATGCCTGGCGGAGATGGTCACCGGGGGAAAAGCCTGAAACTTCTGGAGAAGATCCCTGAAGATGCCGAGGCCACTGTTGTTCTTGTGGGTAAGGAGGGCTGGGTGCTGAGGACAGGGTTCCCTGAGTGTCCTTTGCTGTGGTCTGTTCCCCTGGACCTGTGCAGCCAGCTGCTCTGAATCCTTTCTTCTCCATCCCCAGCCTGCTTCCATTTCCAGTTGCCTGCCCTCTGGAACTACCGCTAGTTTAATATAGCACCATTGTAGGACCTAGGAAGAAAGCTATCCTTACACGATATCATTAATTTCCACCTATTGGTAACTGTTACGTGACTATAAACATGTAAGTGAACAGGGCACTTTTAGATCTGAGGTTTCTTTTGCAGTGCCCAACTGCTCCACTGTGCAGAAGAGCCTGGGTCTCCCTGCCAGGGCCTGCCTTGACTGTTCCCCTGTGTCCATCACTGCTTTCGTCTTCCTCTAGGCTGTGTGCCTTTCTTGGAGCAGCCAGCAGCAGCCTTTGTACGGCTCAGCGAGGCTGTTCTCTTGGAGTCTGTGCTCGAGGTCCCTGTACCTGTCCGCTTCCTCTTTGTGATGCTGGGGCCCCGCCATACCAGCACCGACTATCATGAGCTAGGACGATCCATTGCCACCCTCATGTCTGACAAGGTTAGTCCTATAACCTGGCCTGTCCACCTGGAACCTGCTTGTTCCTTAGCTGTCTGTCTCTGGAGTGGAGTTGGTGAGCTGTTAGCCCAGAATAGAAAACGGAACCCTGGGCTGTGCACTGAAAGGGATGGTAACACAGAAGTACAGCCCACACTCAGTGCCTTGGATGTAGTAGGAGAGGTGGACTGAAGGGTTGATGGTGCTGACCATGACTGGCCTCAGATAGGAGGGTCTCCCAGCCTAGTTGATGTTTGGGATGCTTGTTAGTCTGTAGGAGGTGGACACTGCCTAGTCAGAGCTATTCTAGAGTCGTCTCCTAGACTGTCCTGATGCATACGACCCAATGCCGCCTCTCTGAAATTTTCTTCCTGGGCTCTCTTGGCCCATCTTTGAGAGCCATACCCCCTTTGCAGCTGTTTCATGAGGCTGCCTACCAGGCAGATGACCGCCAGGACCTTTTGGGTGCCATCAGTGAGTTCTTGGATGGCAGCATTGTGATACCCCCATCGGAGGTGGAGGGCCGTGACCTGCTACGTTCCGTGGCTGCCTTCCAGCGTGAGCTGCTGAGGAAGCGGCGGGAGCGGGAACAGACCAAAGTGGAGATGACCACCCGGGGGGGCTATGTGGCCCCTGGCAAAGGTTAGACCCCAGCCCAGTTGTGAGTCTTCAAGTCTTGGCTTCTTACCATCCCTGCCCGCAATGCTCCGTGGGAGGCAGCCGGGGCTTTTCAGACAGGAGGGAGTGGCCCATGTTGCATCGGCATCTTGCTTCCTTCCCCAGAACTGTCTTTGGAGATGGGGGGCTCCGAGGCAACCTCTGAAGATGATCCCCTGCAGCGGACAGGCTCAGTGTTTGGGGGGCTAGTCCGGGACGTGAAGCGCCGGTACCCACACTACCCCAGTGATCTGCGGGATGCACTGCACTCCCAGTGTGTGGCTGGC